TTTGGGGAACCCGGCGCAGTGCGAGCCAATTCAGTCTACGTGGATTCAGGAGTAAAAGTGCTGATACAGGGGTGCGCAGCAGCAGCTGCAACAGCAGCTGCAACAAGAGCAGCCCCAGCAGCAGGTGCTGCAACTCAGGCAGCAGCAATGCAGCACGTACCGAGCAGGCCCCTCTTGGCTTCCCTCTTCCGTGCAGCTGTAGAAAGCGAGCCCGCCTAAAGTTCACATTTCATGAACGACTTGGAGAGCCCGTAGTTGATGTGAAGTACGCCACCGTCAAAGAATCTCTCAGCTCATCCGGTTTCTCTTGGCAAGAGAAGCCAAGCCAAAAGCTGCAGCTCGATCTGAGGCTTCTAGAGGAATGCGATTGGATGAAAGCGATGGCCTGGGAACAGAAGCATCCGCTGAATTGTGAAGAGGGTTAGGAAACACAACGAAAAAGCATAGACACAATTTAGACTATAAACCAATTAGACAAAATGCAGCATAGGAGTACAGTCAAAGCACAACGTAGAACTATTACCTCAACCTATAAAACACTTGAACAAAACACAACACAGAAGTATAACGCTTTTCTAGGAAAAATGCAACACAAGTGTATAGTATGAGTTTATGATATGAAGCACTTAGAGGTACATTCATTTGTCGCGTACCCGTACCCTTGTTGTAGTTTTCATTTCGCTGTTAGTAACGAGCAGCCTTCCGTAAACTCTAATACCGGCATTTCTCTTTCTGCCTTTCTGGTGTTCCTTGCGTCAACTGGGTTAACCTCGATCCGCACTCCCGGGCCCTAACCGGTTCTACGAGCTTCTAATATTCAAGCTCTGGGCATAGGGGTTCCTGCTAAGTGTTATCTGCTTTATAACGCAGGGCCATTATGGCGCCTACGACTGATGCCATCAAAAGAAGATGTGCCTGCTGCTGATGAGAACAGCCAACCCCTCCCGACGGCCTCGCAAGTGAGTCGGGCTCTTGACAGAACCCGCACATCTTCAGTCGATTTCCAGAGCAGCCTAGGCGGACCAAAAAGCAGCAGCAGCACCAGCAGCAGCAGCGCCAGCAGCAGCAGCACCAGCAGCAGCAGCAAAAGCAGCAGCATCAGCAAAGGGAAGCGCTTTAGAACCCATATAATTGGCGTATTCCACCATTCGGCAATGGATGGAGTAAGCAGGAAAGAGTTCTGGGATGAGCTGCTAAGAGCTGTCATCGTCCTCAGTAATGCAAAGGTCTACGCGGAGTATGCGACGCGCGTCAAGGCTCTTACAGCAGCGACAGCAGTTGCTTCTCAACCCCTACCGATTTCTCGGCAGCAGAAACTCAACTTGCAGCAGCAGCAACAGCAGCAGTTGCAGCAGATGCAACAACATCCAGGAACAACTCCGTCTCCCTGTTTTTCCAGCGTGGCAACGCAGACGGCCTTCACAAGTCCGAGTTACCGCTGGCGGAGAGGCAGCAGCAACAGCAGCTCTTCAACAGCCTCTGCTGGCGCCCCGTACTTGCGTCGCAGCAGCGCAGTCAGCACGAGCACGGGCATCCTCCCCTTCGGGGAAATGGAGTACAGCGGTTGTCCTTATGAATCTCCATCCGCAAACACATGGTGTTACATCCGGCGTCTCTCTGCAGTGTCTGCATGTTCTGTAGACAGCGCGGCAGCATACCCTTCAGAGGACACAACGCGAGACAGGCAATGTCAAACCGATGACCCCGTCCTGTTTCTTCCTAAGACGGTGTTGCCCCCGGCGTTGAATGAAATGTTTCCGGTCACAGCCTACATAACCATGCTCAGACCACTGATGAGCCCCAGGCACAACCTCCATATAAAGCTTTACCTACTGGAGGGGGAGCTCCTCAAGGCCCTCCGCAACCCTTTCGCATGCTATTACCCCTCTAGACGCTTTAGAGCACGGGGCTTGGAATACCAGGCATACAGAGAAAAGGCAATAACACTTGGCGCTGCTAGGCCTGCTGCTGGGCAGCAAGTGTACAGCAGCGCTAGCGATTCTCCCAGGCAGCAGCAACAGGAGGCAGGAAAACCAGTTGCTGCTGCGCCACATGCAGACAAAGAAGAAGAACCTTCAGAAGATCCCGCGTTTACTGGGCTGGTGACACTGCGACTCTCTGAAGATCTCACATCAGGGCTTATTGCAGGTTGTAGGGAACGAAATATGACAATGAATGGTTTGGTTACAACTGCAGCGGCTGTTGCGCTCTCTCGCATGCTCTGGAGAAGAAATCAGGTGATGCAGCAGCACAACCTCCTCGCCGATCTCTCTCGTGTTGCTGCTGCCTCCAGTGCTGCTTCCTGCTGCTGGCCTCTGCGGCATCACTCGTTGTGGGCCTCTTGTCCACCGCAAAAACAAGGAGAGCAGCAGCTTCTTAAAACGTGCGGAGAGGATACACCGCAGGAAGGGACTTGCGTTCAGAGCACCGAACACGAAAGCCTAGCCACTACTCTGAACTCAACTTGTGCCAGCTCTGAGCAGGACTCCGCCAAGGCAGGAACTCCTAATACAACACAAACTCTGTCTCCTAGCAGCTGCGAGACGTACGCAAGCCACTTCAGCAAAGGGTCTGCTTATACGTGTCCTGCTTATCCTTCGGACCTCCTCGAGAGTCCAAGTGTTTCCCCTCTTGTCAGTGAAGAGATTCAGCGCTCCTCGTCGCTCCAAGAGCTGTTGCAAACGATGCAAACTGCAGCAAGTGATGCGGCGGAAGAAGAGAAAAAGGAAAAACAACAGAGGGCTTCTGCATGTGCGAAGAAAAGTACAACGAGCGGTGGCTGCGGTTGGTCGCTTTCTCACGTCTCCGGCATGCTGCAGCAGCTAGCAACACGTTCTCCTGTTTCAGGAGAGGGACCCCCCGGAAGTTTAGGTAGGCAGTTTGCAAGGCATAAGGGCCCCGTCTACATCTACACGCTGCAAGCTATCAGCGGCAGACGGTGGCTAGACAAGTGGGTTGAGGAGCAGCAGAAGAACCCTGGGCTAGNCTGCAAGCTATCAGCGGCAGACGGTGGCTAGACAAGTGGGTTGAGGAGCAGCAGAAGAACCCTGGGCTAGGAATGACAGGCCGAAAAAGGATTGCCAGTGATGGGGAGCGGTTTGATGAATTTTTATTTCAACATTTTACTCTCAGTATGAGGAGTCAGAGATGTTCTCGGACTCTTGCTGCAATGGCAGCAGCTTCAGTCGCCCTTAGTGCCTCTCCAAGCCCTCCTTCTCCTCTCCTGCAGATCCCGTCTGCAAGGCATCCACCAGCATCTGCGGGCTTGTGGGGAAGCCGGAGTGGAAGCAGCTGCAGCAGAAGCAGCAGCGGCAGCGGCGGCAGCGGGGCAAGACGCCTCACTAAACAGGGAAGGCACTGGGGTTCACACGAACCCGGTGATGCTGACAGTCACCATGGAAACAACGCATTCTTCAGCAAGCATGAGCAACAACAACGCGCTGCTGCTGCTGTTGCCGCGGCTGCTGAGATAGAAACGCAAGTGAATACTGTGGGGGGGTCGCTGCATAGACGCAGGAAGTGTCAGAGTCCGGGAGAATCTNCAGCGATATCTGCTTAAAGGGCAGCAAGGGATTTGTGGAGGTAACAGGACAAAGCTCCCTCTCAACGTCTAGCAGCTTGCACTGTACGTTTACCAGCACGTTAAGTGCAGAGTCTTTAGAAGACAGCGCAGAGAAAGCATCGGTATGCATATCGAAAAGAAACACTACCAGCACCAGCTGCTCCCGACGACTGCACACCCACACGCGTACTGTCAGCAGTCGCATTTCTCGTGGTTTGAAGATGATAACGCAGTGGCTTTGGGGAACGCGCAAGTACAGCAGCAGCAGCAACGAGAAGAAACCTGAAAAGCAGCAGCAGCAGACTCTAGAGCAGCAGCACAGTCTAGAACAGCAGCTGCCCCCATTTGGACTTGGATCGTATGCGTTGTTGATGCCGCTGAAGCTCCGCGTGCCTGAAGAGTGCAACCAGGATGCTGCAGCGATATGGTGTCTTGGCAAAGCATGCACGGAGACAGTGCACAAGTTTGTGTCCTTGCCTAATCCTTCTCTCGCTACCTTTGATTTCCAACTCATTTCCTCCTTTGCTGAAGAGATACAGGGGCAGCTGAAATGCTTGCACCATGTAAGAGGTGATTCTTTCACTCGACCATCTGCTTTTCTCATTTCAAATGGAGGAGTTTGGGATGCACGTTCCCTCAGTACATTTGCAGCAAAAATACACCAGCAACTTCGAGCTGTGCCCGAAAGGCACCGGCGATTGCTGCAGCGTGTGCTGCAGCATCAGATGTTTTTGCAACAAAGAGCGTCCAAGAGACCGACGCTCCCACCTCTGCCGTCACAGCACCCAGGTGGATCAGCAGCAGCAGCAGCAGATGCTGTTCTTAAGGGCAAATGCCAGTGGGGAGGTGTCAGAAGGCCTGTCCGCAGCAGCAAGTGTTCTGGAAGAACCAGTGGTCAACCAGCATCAG